TAGGGACCCGAGGTGAGGATCGCCCACTTCATGGGCGACACTGGCTGCCTCTTGATCCACTCTGCGATGAGTAGACAGAAAGGTCAGTATCGCTTAGCAACTGAGTATAGGCTAATCTTTGCTGGTGGGTTGCACAGGAACAGACCAAAAAGAAGAGAAGTACCTGAAACCCGGCCCTTGGCGTCGTAGTGCGCGCAGCGGAACTTGGGATCGTAGCCGGCCTTGTTGGGCAAGTAGTCCAGGCCGGAGAACTGGAACAGCTTGACGCCCAGTTCGCGGGCCAGCTCGAAGGCGCGGATGGACCAGTGGAGCTCGGCCTTCTCTCCGATGGCGAAGCTGTTGGCCAGGAGGTAGACGGCGTCCATGCCGCGGATGGCTTCGCGCAGCAACTCCTCGGACTCGACGTGGCCCACGTGGAAGGTGACATTGGGCAGCTGGGCGAGCTCCAGGGCCGACTGGTGGTCAGGGTTGCGGGTCTGCACTCGCACCTGGTATCTCCCGTCGCGTGTCAAAGCTATACCATGCAGGTCGTTTAGAATCTAACATACTCCGCTATATGTGCTGTAATGTGTAGATAGATATACCTCTGACCACTGCTGAGCCTTGTGCGCCTGTGCCGCCAAGAACCACAATCTTCTCAATGCGGTTGGTGGTAGTCGCCATGTTCTGTTGTTGGGTGTTGGTGGAAAGCTGGTGGTTGGGGTGAGGAGGGAAGAACAACCTGGGCGAGGTTTTATACCTGCTCTCCCCCCTCTAACGAGCCGTCATCGTGGAAAGGTGGGCTGCACGCGAACCAATTGGAGAAAAGCGCAAGCGCCTGCGACGCCTCATTTCCCGCTGCTTTTGTGCCATAAAAGGAAATAAAAACCAAAAAAGGCGCTTCTCACGCGACGGCGAAAGAGAAGCGGCCGGAGGTGGAGACGCGCGTGACCGGGACCAGGCCGAGGGCAGCCACCAGGGTCGGCGTCGCTCGGTCCTCCGTGTCTCCGAGGCCCAGCCTGCAAATGCACATGCAAAAAAAAAGTAAATACTAAGAAATCCTGATTAGGCACCCCAATGGGCGAGGGAAACCACAACGTGATATGAACGTGCCTGTAGTACGAGCCGAGACCAAACGAATAGACGCGGCCGCACGATGTTACCGCGAGACTGTGCTGTTGTCCGGCGACCGCTTGCACGACCTGGCCGACACTCGACTTAACACTCACAACTCCCTCAAGGCCCAGGCTGGCCTGGTGGAGAAGCGTACGGGTTCGCCGGCGACGGAGACGGGCGTCGGCAGGTGTGACTGGGTGTCCGCCATGCCCAGGCCCAGCTGGCCGTTCACATTCGACCCAAACCCGAACAACACTCCCGCGTCGGTCACCACCAAGCTGTGTGCCTCACCTGCACACGAATGCACATCGCGAGGAATGTGACCAATTCAAGCTGTGCACAAGACAATCAGTTGCACTAGGCCTGCTTACCAGCTGAGATGTCGACCACTCGATGCTGCGAGAGACATTCGATCATGAGCGGAAGCTTTTGGATGTTGTCCTGCTGGTCCACCTTGTACCCCAGTCTCCCCTTCCTACCCCACGACCAGCACCGTTCAGTCAATGTCATGGCATAAATGAATAATTAAATATATATAATTTAGGGATAGAACATAATATGAACATAATATGAATAAATATGAGCCCAAGCCGTACCCGTATTTGTCCATCCCGCAGGAGAAGACGTGGCCCTCGCGGCTCAGAAACAGGCTGTGATGGGTCCCGGCGGCTACGGCGACGATGTGCCGGCCCGCGAGAGCGGCGATGCGCTCCGGCACGGTCACGTTGGCCAGGCGAGCCTGGAGGCTGGTCTCGTAGAGCTGGTAGGGGTTGTAGCCGTGGCCTCGGCCCAGGCCCAGCTGGCCCGTGTCATCGCACCCGAAGGCGAACACCTCGCCCCGCTCGCTCACCGCCAAGCTGTGGAACTGGCCCGCAGCCACTTGTCGCACGTTCACGCCTGCGTCCGAACATTATCAATTCCACGCGTGCGCGTGTGCGGCGTGTGCGTGTGCGGCGTGTGCGTGTGCGGTGTGTGCGTGTGCACGTGCGTGTGCGGTGTGTGCGGAAAGTAAACCTGAAAGAGTGTCAACCAGCACTGGCCTGTCGTGGTCGAGCAGATTGCCCAGGCCCAGCTTTCCGTAGCGACCTGACCCGAATGCGTAGACGACGGTGCGAGAGGGCGATGAGGGCACCTGCGCCACCATCAGCGAGTGGCCCGAGCACGAGGCCACCTGCAGCACTCGCACACCTGACCGCCTCACCAGAGCATCGAAGAAGAAAGAACGAATAACGAACGACGAACAACGAACACATTTTGAGCCCAAGCCATTTTTCCACATTCATGAGTTGATGTTACCTGCCAGCTCGGCAATTGGTGTCGGCGTGCTTCGTTGGAAGTTCGGCATCGAGTAGTGGCCCAGCCCAGAGCCACACGAATGCACCTGGGTGCGCGAAGAGACGCGCGAGTGATAAGTGCGGTGATGTTCATCGTCAAGTTCGCGTGTACAGGTGAGTACCTGGCCAGTGGCGCTGAGGAAGAGGGCGTGGCTCCCTGGCGGCTGCCAGCCCGCGCACACGTCCACCACCGGCACCCGCTCCAGGGACCTGATGATAGTCGGCAGCCCCTTCTGCGGGTTTGGGCAATGATGTGCCATGGTGAGATTGAGCTGTCGCCATTCATCATCAAAAGAATGACTGTGTGTTTGTTCCGCCTACGCACTCGGTCTTCTGTGAGCCCCGTGGGGCTCTGGTAATCGCCAAAGGCGAACACCAGACCTGCGATCAGCGAGCGTCGCACCTCAGGCTTGGCCATCAGTCGACGCCACCGGCTGAACACAGAAAATAAATAAATAACATATAAATAAAGATAAATTAGTTAACTCCTCAAAAGTCTCAACGGAAGGAGAGAGAGGAAGGGGCGGACCTGGAGACGAGGGCGAGTGTGGGGAGGAGGTAGCGCCAGGGCAGGTTCACGTGCTGCCCGGGCAAACGTGCGCCGCCAACAAAGGCCAGTACCATCTCCAGCAGCTCATCGTCCACGAGTAAGTCCTCCAGCCCCACACATTCCGACTGCGCTTTCGCCTCCAGCTCCATTCTCTTCTCTGCTGTAATTCAGTGTCGTCCGCGACTCAGTCCTCCCCTAAATTAAGTGCAAAAGAAACAAAGGAAATAGCAATGGAAATACCCGCGCCTGAGAAATGTGTTAATGTTCATTTCTCACCGCCCAGTGTCCCACGAGCCAAGGCCTACCTTTTGCGCAGCTTCCCCGACGGAGTGGTTCAGCCGAACTGCCGACGGTCAGACTAACTCCACACTACTGCTGACCCCAAAGAACAGTTCTCACATCCTCGCCGGCCGCTACGCGATCGTGATGAAGTCCACCTCTGAACAGCTGCCAGAGACCTTGCGTGAGGAGGCGTCGAATTAACGGAAGCTGCACGCCGAAACTCATCATCTCATGGTCATGTGCTGCAGCGTGCTGTAGAGGCACCCGCATGCGCCGTAGGGCCACAGCAACACACAACACGCAATGGCACAAGGCGCAGAGCGGGCGAGCTGCAGGATTCCTGTAAGACTCGCGCACGTCGGACCAAGATGGGCGGAGATCAGCGCCACCTTAACCAGAGCCGAACTTACGGCGGAAGCTTGGGACATGAGAAATGAAAGCAACCGAACAGAAAATGGTTGGGAAAATGCTAAGGTCGACGAAATATACCGAAACCGCCAACCAGCGATTGTTCCGTCTCGAAATTTCACCAGAGTTTTGCTGCGCTCTACAACCATCTGCGCTTTCCGTCTGCGCACCTCAACTGGAAATATAAATATCCCTTTACGCAACCATTCTTATTCAATCTTAATCGACTTCACATCATCACTTCACCACAGAACTCAAGCCACGCCCACCACTCGCTCGATCTCGGAAAGAGAAAAAAAACAATATCAGATTCTACAGCATCCAGTTTCCCATTACCAGCCAGCATGATGAATCGAATGAGGACCACTGTCGCGAGCACGAGTAGTCACGTCCATATACCGTCGTCTATATCGTCATCAGCGGCCTCCTCCTCTTCACCGGTCAGTTGGCAGCGCACCATGGACGACATGATCCACCGCTACGCGAATCTCAAGCAGACTCCTGTGTCCGTCAAGAACATGATCGTCTTCGGCAAGGACGCCAACATGAACACCCTCCTCCGCTCCCACGCCTTCCTGCGCTACGAGCTCCCCATCCGACTGGCCCACATCGCCAAGGAGATCACCGCCCTCCCCGAGGAGCTCCTCGAGGTAGAGCCCGTCCAGAAGGTCCTCAACTGGTACCGCCTCTCCTTCTCTGGTACGCTCCCCTCCTCTTTATATGGTTATTTATTCTTATTATTTCTTATTGATATTGATATTTTGAACATTATCATATTATTGTTTATTTGGTATTGTTTATTTATTGTATTTGTTTATTTATTTATTTGTATCTACGCGTGAGTAGAGGTGATTGAGTCGCCGGTGCCGAACGTGGCGGACATGGAGCTCAAGACGGAGGACGAGCAGTGCGCGTCGCTGCACCAGTTCCAGGACATGCTGGACCACATCAAGGATCGTCACTCCGGCGTCGTCACCACCATGGCCGAGGGCGTGCTCGAGCTCAAGAACCGACTCGGCCGCGAGATGATCGACACCTCGGTCCAGTTCTTCCTTGGTACTCCTCTTCACCTTCTTCCTGTGTGTGTGCGTGTGCGTGCGTGTGTGCTAACGGTGTGTCGTGCGTTGTGTTGGATGCAGATCGATTGTACATGAACCGTATCTCCATTCGAATGCTGATCACGCAGCATCTGGAGCTCTTCAAGCAGGCGCAGACCAACAACAACCTGTGCGCCATCACCAGCGGCGCCAGCGGGCGCAAGGTGACCCCCAACAAGAAGAACCGATGGGTCGGCATCATCGACCCCCAATGCAACGTCAAAGAGGTAACACTCATAATTCTTCACATTTTATATTTTTATTTTTATTATGTTGTACTGTTATTGCGTTGTTAAAGTTGTTTACTGATATTTTCTTATTTCGAACAGATTGCGGAGGACGCGGTGGACGACGCGCGATATCTGTGCTCGAACAACTACTCGGTGTGTCCGTCGGTGCAGATCATCGTGCCGCCGAAGCTCGGCACCGAGACCAGCGCGGGCGCGCCCACCCTCCCCTACGTGCCCTCCCATCTCTACCACATGCTCTTCGAAACGATCAAGGTGCGCCACACCACCACCACCCTCATCTACATCGTCGCCTTGTTCATGTTCGTGTACTGACTCTCGCCATTGTAGAACTCGCTGCGTGCGGTGGTCGAAGTGCACGGGGCCAACGCGCAGAGCGAGGACGACCTGCCTCCGGTGCGGGTGGTGCTGGTCAAGGGCACGGAAGACCTCACGATTAAGATCAGCGACATGGGCGGCGGCATCCCGCACGCCGATGTGCCCAAGCTGTTCACCTACTTCTACACGACCGCCGCGCCGCCCACCAAGGACACCCTCGACAGCCTCAACGAGGGCGCCGCACCGATGGCCGGCCTTGGCTACGGTCTGCCCATTAGTCGTCTCTACGCCCGCTACTTTGGCGGCGACCTCAAAGTCATTCCCATGGTACACAACACACACACACACACACACACACACACACACACACACGGAAGACGACCGCACACACTAATGTGTTGTGTGTGTGCAACAAACTGTAGGAGGGCTACGGAACGGACGCCTACATCCACCTGAAGGCGGCGGGCGAGACGCGGGAAGTGCTGCCCGAGTACAGCCCGTCGACGTACCTGGGCTCGCAGGCCAACCTGCGCGAATGGCTCAACGTCGACAACTGCGCCTTCCAACTGTAAAAACACCACCACCCGACATTTTGTACATTCCAGAAGACCGACCGGCGCTCGACCGAGGCTTGATCGCTGGGCCGACGAAGGTCAGTTTGTTTGGACATCAAGAGAAGAGGCGACCTGGACGACGACGACGAGGAGGAACTAACACATCAACATAGTCATGAACATACTGTTTATAGAAGGATTTTGTGAATAGATAAATAGTAGATAAAATGCCACAACTTAGTTGTATTGCAGGCCCGTGGTGGGGAACGGGAGGGGCTCGGGGAACTGGAGGTAGGGTCCTTGCGGCTGGTCTATTGGCATCTGGGCCGTCGTCATCATCGGCCCCGGAGCCCACTCGACCTTGCCGCAGCCGTAGTAGGACTGGCCCTGCGTGAACGGCCCGGTGGGGTTGTACTGGAAGCACGCCGGCGCGACCGTCGGGATGAAGGCCGACGGCGGCGGAAGCGTGGGTGCGCCGGTCTGGTAGTAGGCTGCCGGGTATCCCTTGTCGCTGGCTCTTTCCTGTCCGTCGCCCATGGCTGGCTTGTTGTCGGCCGGCTTCGGCTCATCGTTCCACACGAACGGCGCCGGGGGCTCTGTCAACTTGGTCGACTGTTGCAGTGGAGGTTGCTGAGCAACCGGTTGCCCTGCAGAAACCTTGCCCGGATACGCCGACCAGTTGCTCGCCGACGAGGCCTGAGCGCGCTTGGTGAGGGTGTAGTTGGCCAGGTCGTACTCGACGTCGCGCTGGACCGGCTGCTGCATGTGCTTGAACAGGACGTGGAAGATGTTGCCGAACCGGACCAGCCGGTTGTGGATGAGCAGGTCGCCGTGGCCGCCCAGATCGCCGTAGGGCGTCGGGGCCGAGGTCATGGCCAGGACTGACATGTAGGCCTTCTTGCTGGTCATGTAGAGGTTGGCCCGCTCGCCGGCGGCCAGGCCCTGGACTTGCGGCGGCACGCTGCTGGTGCCCATCTGCACGTTGGCCCCGCCCGAAACCTTGCCGCCCAGGACGGTCAGCGGGTTGGTGCCGACGCCGGCCCCGACGTTGCCGCCGACGCCGCGCAGGACCAGCGTGTCGGGGTCGACGGTGAGGATGATGTAGAGGTTGCACGGCGTGTGGTTGATGACCGACATCTGGCGGCGGAACGAGAAGTAGTGCTTGGGGCACAGCTCGATCGAGTCGGCGCGCTTCAGCTTCTTGTCCGAGTGGTTGTGGACGTTGGTGTTGTTCTTTTCCATGATGATTGTAGAGGTTGGTTGCTAAATGTGTGGGTTGCGTTGATGGTGGGTGGTGAGGGAAGACCAACATGAGTAGCTACTTTTATAGTTTGATGGCGGCAGGTGGTTGGCTGAGGGATGCGAATAAGCTTCGGCGAGGCTGGTGGGTTGGTGGAGTTCTCCTGGGGTGGACTGGGGGTCGACTAGGGGAACGCCGGATAAGGGAAGACCATTCTACTGCTGCATGCCCGGGAGGAGGCCCAACACGGAGGGAGAAGGTCACTGTTAGCCGAACTGGACCCCTGATGAAACCGAATGACGGAGCGTTGTTTCCACCAACTCTAATCATCGTCAACAGTTTGACAGAATAGCCGGGGCCTTGGTACTTCACGCCCTTTCAAACTATTCCTTTTTCAGCATAGGCTTTTTGGCTTATGCGAAATTTCAGGATCATCTGTTTCACCGAACCTCATATGATCCCACAATGCGCAGAGGGCATGGCCAACGGCGCCATCAAAAGGAGCTGGCAGTCTCCACTCCCCAACGAGAAGAAGAAGCACCTCAACAAAACCACTGCCAAGGGTTGGAGGGCGGGTATCTTGCTCTCCCTTTGTCTAATATCGCACCCTCCTCTCGCAAGGGAGTACTGAGGGCCGCTGATGTGGGAGTAGCCATGTTAGGAGACTGAAGCCTGTACAGTGCCTGCCCGGGGGGTTCAACTCCCTCCAGTGGTAACCTTCTCTTTTGCTTCACAACCCCCCTCTTTACTTTCCATCTTCGTCCTCAGTCATTCCGCCGCTCTCACCACAACAAGGGTGTCGCCATGTGCTCAAGCACCAACACCAAGAAGAGGAAAGCAAATTCAGTGTTGGCCAGTGATCATCCGGTCAGAAATGGTAGTAGCCACTTAGAGACGTGCTTTATTAGCCGACCCACCAATCAGTAGGGACGTGTGTACTTGGTCCAGCTGCCCGCGTAGACCAGGCAGCCGTTCGCAGCGGGGGCGGGGAACCAAGAGATCTTCATGAAGCCCGCGTCGACCGCATCCACCACCACGTTCGTCTGCGCACCCAATCAATTTGCATTTAAAGAAAGATGAAAAAAAAGTCGAAGTGAAAGAAGAGTACGTAGGAGCAGAACACGTTGGGGTTGTTGATTCGCCACAGGGCACCCTGGCCGAGGCCGTAGCCGCCGTAGAGGGTGGCCTTGATGGAGTACGGCGCGCTGGAGGACTTGGTCGAGGGCAGCAGTAGCTGGTCGCCCTGTTGGACAAACTTGACGGCATAGACCTGGCCGTTGTCATCGAGCGCCGACCACACGCCGGAGAGATCGCTCGTCGAGTTGGCCCGGAGAGCCGCGCCGGAGAAAGCGCGGGTGGCGCCAGTAGCGCTGGCCACGGCCAAGCAGCATGAGAGAGCGAGGAGGAGGGCAGCGCTAAGGGAGGAAGAAGAGAACATGTTGGTGGTGGGTATAGAGAGTGTTGGTCACAAAAACTCCGGGCTGATCACTTTTATATCCTGCCGGGCGTCGCCAAAAAAGCCGGACTGGTCAAAACTATTTTAGCTTGGAGTGTTCTGCCCAAAAATGATCATAAATCCCCGAGGGTCAGACACAAATGAAAATGCCCAAAAAGAAGTGTGTGGACACTTGGCAGGCGTCCTAACGACGCGTCTTCATTTGAGGGTAGTTCTGACTTGCACAACGCTGGCCATTGCGGGAAGCTGCTCTCTTTCACTGGGCTAAATCAGCCCCAGCGCTTACAGCAGGTTCTCCCTGCGGTCGGCCGCGAGTCTGACCTGGTCCCAGCGCACGAGCCACTCGACGTTGCCGGTCCGGCTCGCCCTGTGCCGGTCGAAGAAGACCGCCGGGTTCATCTGCCTCCACCTCTCCTCCTCTTCGTCGACGCCCCATGACGCCTCGACCAGCTGCTTGTCTGTGCTCGACTTCCGAAACAGCTTCTTCTTCTTCTTCGTCTTCTTTGTTGCGGTCGCTTCGGCGTAGGTCGAGTAGCTACTACCGGCCCAGGGCGTGAGCACGGTCGCCTGGTGCACCATCTCGCGCTGCTGTCGCTCCACCTCCTCCTTGGCCGCCTCGGCCGCGTCATAGTCGCCACGCGTCAGGGCTTCATTCACCGCCCGCCACACCGAGCTTGAAACATGCACGGCACACGCACACACCGCCAACGCAAACGCACAACCGCACACGCTCGTGGTAAGCAAGTCAACTCCTCGCTGCGGGCGGGGTCAGGGTACCTTGAGTCTCGTCCGTGCTGCCGGCCGTCGACAATCTCGACCACCAGCGGGACGCTCAGGCGGCTGGCCCGGCACAACACTCCGGGCTGGCACGCCAAACAGAACAGAGACGAGAGCTAGTCAATCACCAACCAACCAACCAACCAACCAACCAACCAACCAACCAACCAACCAACCAACCAACCAACCAACCAACCAACCATGGTGGCGATGGCGATGGCGATGGCGATGGCGATGGCGATGGCGATGGCGATGGCGATGGCTGCGGCTTACCTCGAGTGAAGCGTTGGAGCCGAGCCTCAGTAGGGAGGAGGCCAGGGGCGTGATCTCGATGATGCCGTCCCACTGGCCGTAGAGCTGGGCCACCAGCATGTGCTCGGGCTCGTGGTAGATCTCGCCGCGCAGAAAGTCCGGCTCTCCCTCGGGTCCCTGTCCCACCCACACCACGAGTCAGTTAACTGAATTGCTGCGTTGCAACCAAAATCCAACCAAAACTGGCCAACAAAAAGCTGGGGTTGGGTGTGGTGTTACGCACCTCCTCGCAGAAGTGGAGGTGTGCAAAGTAGCCGGTGCGGCTGCAGGCCACGACGACGTCGCCCTTGTACGAGTGCCGGCGCTTGCCCCACAGCAGGCTCTTGACCACCTGCGTCGGCATGGGCGGGATGAAGTCGTAGTGCTCGTACCTCGCCCACCACTCCCCCTCGCCCCGCTCCTCCTCCACCTCCTCCTGCGGCTGCTGCTGCTCGCCGCCTCCGCCGCCGCCGCTACCGCCGCCAGTCGCCCGGTGCTCGTCGGCTTGGGCTTGGGCTGGGGTCTGGGTCCGGGCGAGACTCTTCTTGACGCCCAGCACCAGGCGTGCGGGGCCGATCATATCGACAGCAATCGCGTTGCCGCTGAACTCGAGGCACATCTCGGCCTGGCCGAAGAAGCACGTCCGGCGCTCGCTGTCCAACATGAAGTAGGCGCTCACCGGTGGGTGGTGCGACACCTACAAACCGAGTAAGCACCAAAGTTGACTCACCGATGACTATTCAGAGGTGCAGAAGGTGGTGAGCAGCTGACCTGCTCCAAGATCGCCCACACGCCGTCGGCGTAACACTGGTAGCTCTCGCCCAACACCGGGTTGAAGGGCTTCTTGCCGTCCTGGCAGGGATTGAAGCGTCAGAACGTGTGGTTATAAGGCGTGGGGGGGGGGAGAACGTACGGGGTCGGCACTAAAGGCGGCCAGGTACCACCTCAGCACGGCCACCATCCGCACGAACGCGTCGTTGTGCTGCCACACCCTGTGGTGTGTGTGTGTGCGTGCGTGCGTGTTCTTAGGCTGGAAGAATAAGAGTTTACAAAAAGAGAGGGTTGGGGTACCCGTGCATGTAGGGCGCGCCGCGGAGGCGGTGGTGGGCCAGGGCTTGGAGGGTCGACTGGGGGCAGCACAGGGAGGCCGGCAGGCTCATGTGCATCAGAACGCCGCCTGCAGTGGCCCAAGTGTGTTAACACACTTTGAAAGCAGTGAGTGCTTGTTGGCATTGGACGCACCGGTAGCGATCTTCTTCATGAAGCACTTGAGCGCGTTCATGCTGCCCCCTCCTCCACCACCTGCGCCTGGGTCTGCCTCCGGTTCATCTCGCCCATGTCGCGACTTCCTGATGTGCATCTCTCTCTCTCTCTTGTGTTCCAGTGGGCCAAGTTTGTGGGCTGGGCGTGATCAAGGCCTTCTCAATCATGAGAGTGCAAGAGGCCCAGAGACCACCAGGTCCTGGAAAGGATGTCCCTGCAGAGACCAGGAATTCCACCCCAAGCCGACGACTTTTTGGTTTTCGGTTGGCTTTTACGCGATTGGACGATTAACTGCAGATGGAAAAGGAAAATCGTGCGGTAAGCGGGAACGAAAGAAAAACCAAAAGAAGATGAAGAAGGCGCTGCTGGTGCCGCTGGTCGTGGTGGCCTTGGCCGTTGGCCTCACCGCCTTCCACGCCAACTTCATCTCCCAAGACCGCGTGGACTGGTACTCCCGCCAATATTAAAAACAAAAATTGATTATATTATTTATATATATTTAATTTTTCAATTAATTTGTGGGCCAGGCGCATCAAGTACCTGATGGACCCGGCGGTGCGGCTGGTCTTCCGCGCGGCGGGCATGGACAAGGACGAGGGCCGCTTCGACCGCGCGGCCTTTCAGCGCTTCATGCTCTCCCACGAACCCACGACCGGAGGTACCACCTGCACAGCTTCAACCACGACTCGAGTGCTTCTTTGTTTATGGTTGGTTGTGGTTGATTGGCTCGTGTAACAGTTGGTACTGTTGGCGCCTTCTTAACTACAACAACAATGAATGTTGATTGGGCTGTGCTCATAGGCGAGTTTGTGGACGGCGTGCGGAGCGAGGATCTGCTGGTGCCTCCGCACGAGTACCCGCCCAACCCTCATCCCCTCCTGGCCGACGTGGCCTCGCCTGCTCCCGCCGCAGGTGCTCCCCTACGCCCATGAGTCGACCATTGCTCGCATTTGTTTCGCTGACAAATGATTGCGAGTCGTGTCGTTGGTCGTGTCTCGTCCACGCGTGCGTCGTGTGTCGTGTGTCGTGTGTCGTGTGTCGTGTCGTGTCGTGTTGTACCGTGTGCGTGTCGTGTGCGTGTCGCGTGTGTCGGCACTAGTGTCCGTGCGTGTGTTTGAGCCGAAGTTGGAGAAGAATGAGTCTCTTCCGGTCATGATCTACATTCACGGCGGTGGATTCACGCTGGGCACCGGGAAGGACTGGGCCATGAACCACGTCGCCACGTAACCGCCATCGCCACCACGTTCCATCATTCCTTTCATTCCTTTCATTACACTAATTTGCCTCTCTGTCCACCTCAAACAGGCGCTTCGCTCGTGAGGGCAAGATGGTCGTGGTGTCCGTGGACTATCGCCTCGCCCCCGAGCATCCGTTCCCCGCCGCCATTGGTACAACATGCTTCTCATGTTTCACGCGTTCTCATGTTTTCAAACTATCATCGCCTTCATCACCATTCTCATTATTACTATTCTTATATATTATCATAATTAACTAATCATCGTTGCTGTGGTTTTATAGAGGATTGCTACTCGGTGCTGCAGTGGGTTGCGCGTCACGGGGACGGACACCCAGCGCTGGCCAAGGCCGACCTCGAAGATCATCACCGCAGGTACGTGCGATTGGATGGACTCTTGTCTCATCATTGCTTGTCTTTCACGCACGCACGCACGCACTGCTCACCGCCACACAACTCACTCACTCACCGCTCGCCGCCCCACAACTCATGCAGGTGACAGCGCGGGCGGGAACCTCGCCGCTGGTTCGGCCCCTCCCCATTTCCGAGAAATTGTGTGTCGAGTCGAGAGTTGTAAATTGTGGAAATGATTGACCGGCGTGAGGTGTGCGTCAGTGCTGAGCCTGATGGCCGTCGAGCGGAATGCCCCGGTGCGTGTGGCCTACCAGCTGCTCATCTACCCGACCTGCATGGCGCCGCCCACCCCGTCCGCGATTGAGTTTGCCGATGGTACTCGCCTCGCCCCATACCACCAATTGAGGTCACAGCAACAACAACCACTATTGCCCTTAATGATCCGATTGGTCCGGTTGGTTGCAGCGTATATTCTGCCGAAGTGGTCGAGCAAGTTCTTCAAGTCGCAGTACCTTCTGGGCCACGACCACGCCATTACGGCCCATCACTACCTTAACCCGACCAAGGCTTCGTTCCTCGACCAATCGCCGCACACCCACATCGTCGTTGGTATGGTCGCTAAATGCCTTCATTCCAACCGCCTTTGTGTTGTCGGCACCATAACACACACACACACACACACACACACACACACACACAACACACACACATACACACACACACACACACAACACACACACAGCCGAACTGGACCCTTTGCGCGATGAAGGCAAGGATCTTGGCGAGCAGCTGAAGGTACACCATGCCCGTGTGTGCGTGTGTGTGGAGGGACTTTTACCCAAGTCATCAACTCAATGTTTGTGTGCGTGCGTGTGCAGGCGGCGGGCGTCGACTGCGAGGTGACGCAGTACAACGACACCGTGCACGGGTTCGTCGGCTTCTGGTTCCTGCCTGAGTCGGAGGCCTTCTTCGTTCACGCGATCCCGCGCATGCTCCACCACCTCCACCGCGAGGCCTGATCTGTTCGCATTTTGTTATGTTTTTTGTTTTGTTTTGTTGTGTTTCTTGCTTTTGAGTTTCTGGTTACCATGTATGTAACAAAAGTGCGCCTATTAGTGACGTCGCGTAGCGGCCTCGTTCGCCTTCTGCTTGGCGTGCATCTTCTCCACGCAGACGACCAGCGCCACGAAGAGGAGTACATCGTGTCCCGCCTCCACCTCCATTACCACGTTGCCTGCGCCATTCGTGAATGTGTGAGGTGGTGTGCGGCAGCGAGTAAAGCATCAATTCAAGTTGGATGATGATGAAGGTACCGAAGTGGTTGATGAGCACGAAGCCTCTGTCGGATGCCACCGCCGGTATCCCATTCAATGAAAACACGCTGCCGCTGTGGGTCGCCTGGTGGGCGATGACTGCGGTTGTTGTGAGTGAGCACCAATGGTGGCAGTTCTTTGAAAGCTCAGTTGTTCATGGAACGAACCAGTTCCATCCACTGTTTCCACGGTGTGCGCGGAGATGTCGTTGATGGTCATCAGACCCTGTGGTAGCACACGGGCGAACGCTCATCAGTCGGAGAGAGATTGAATTGGTTGCGGAGGCAACTCGTCAGGGTGCTACGTACTCGCGAGATACGGCACAGGGCCGTCAGCTGCGGGGGTGGCGCAGCACTCGCCGAGTCCTCTGCGATCGGGCTCACCACGTGGTAGAGATCGCACGAACACGGCGAGCGATTTGCCACCACAAACTGCATGAGCTGCTCACCCTGTTGACGTTCGACCAAGCCAAGTGGTGTGTGGGTGGTGATTCGTGGTTTACATTCATTCATTAACCACGAAGAAGATGATCGTACCCGCATGGTGAAGATACCGAACTGTGCCGGCTCGAAGCTTAACAAGGTCCGGTTCAAGCGCACCACTTGGAACCACGGCTGACCGCCCGGGCCTGAAACAGAGACACGCGCATCAACATGAGAGCTCAAGTGGTGTGCTGTGGTATGTGTATGGAACAGGGCAATACCGCTTACGATGTGATCGCCGAAATTGGAGTTGGTCACGTTGATGTTGAAGCTCATCTTGCGGTCGTAGATGAGGGGCACGGGCGAGCGGCCCAGCCACTGATGATGATCGTCGTCATGGTGGTTGTCGTCGTCGCCCAGCTCGAAGGCCTGGGCTCGCTCCAGCACCGTCTGGGCCAACACGTACTCCTGCTGCAGCTGCTCGGAGTCATAGACCCGCGCTACTGGATCCTCCGTGTTTAACTGCAACCAATCCAACAAACGTGGAATAGAAGACAAGTCAGCTATGATACGCCGTCGCTATGCAACACAACAATAGCCTAGGAACGGGAGGGTGCTATGCAACGAACCGGGACAATCGAACCTGGAGCAGGCGCCGTACTCAGAACTGGGGTGGGTGCGGAAGCCTGGGCTTGCGCTTGGGAGATGAGCGACATGAGATCAATGACCTGCCCGCCACCACCTTGCTGGGGCTGGCCCAGGCCGCCGAAGAGGGAACCACCGCCGCCGCCGAATAGGGAACCACCGCCGCCGGGCCGCGGCCCGACGATGTGATCGGCCGCCCTGATGAGCTCAGCCACCGCTTCCTCGCTGAAACCAAAGTGTTTGTGGAAGTGCGGCATCTTGAGCACGCCCGGGTGGTGGACCAGACAATTCAAGTACCTGCACAGATGTTCGATGAGGTGGGCAGATGTTTGCACACATATATAGTCAATTGTTGGCCAATGTGCAAGTGGTGGTAGGACCGCACCCGATCAGCTCACGCTTGCGGCTCTCGGTGTGCTCGGGCTTGGAGTAGTCCTTGAAGATATTGGCCGAGGGGAAATTGGGGAATGGGTACGACCGCTGGCCGCCGCCGCCTAGACCGATCTGCATCATTCCCATCTGCACTATCGCTCCTACGCCATGTCCGCTGTGGAGCGGTCAAATAGGAACATTGTTCAATAAAATCAGAAAAGGCATTCATGTCATCACGAACAGATGGGCAAGGCATATGTACTGAACGTAACGTTGCGGGCCAGCCATCTCGATCTACACGTTGTACAACGGGATAAAAAATAATTAATAGAAAGAAGTAGGCAAAAAAGAGAAGTAGAGGCGGGAAAATGAACGGCAAGTACCTGATCGTGTAGGCTGCGGAGTTGGCTGTAGCGCTTGTGCACTATGTGGTCCAGGTCGCCCACATGAAAGTGAATCTCGAACACCTGTGGCCACCCAAAGGACCACCAAGCAAATAACAACATGGGGTGGGGTTTGTCGGGGCGCGGGAGAAGACATTCCCGGTGATTTGCGGGGCGGAGACGTACCACGAACGGCCTCCACTCTTTAGCCTCGTGCACGACTTCGGTGTGCGGAATGGAAACCCTGACCTCCGGAGGAGCTGCAGCCGCGGGTGGTGCTTGTTCTTCCATCTTTAATGTTCTTACGCGCTAGAAAATGATTACTCCGCTGCGGCGTTCTAGGTAAACATTAGAATATCTTAACATTGAATTCTCCCCCAATCAGAAGACTCGGTTGGTAAAATTGAGACAGCAATAAAAGGTGAAAAAGAAATGAAATGAAAGACAGAGGAAGCATGGGCGCACAGCAGGTGAAGCTTTTGCGCTCGCTCGACAATGCGGAAGATCGCACGATCCTCGCTGGAGAGTTCGCCCGCCACGCCCCAGAGGGCACCCTGCAGCTGCGTGCCTTCCTGTCCTTCACCGCGCTTGTTGACCACCTCATCGCCAAGCACGCCGAAGACGGCGTCGAAGGCGACGACGCGACCGCCCTCCTCTCCCTCCTCCACGACTCCTCCGCCGTGCTTGCCCCCCCTCTCTTC